TGAGCACTGAGTCACCAGCTGCGGCATAATTTCACGAAATTATAAGGTGACTTGAGTGGGCAGTTTAAAGAGAGCTGTTGTACGTACACATAGACATTAATAGAGGAGGTAGTCCCTGGTCTGATTCTTGTACCTCCGTATAACCGGATTTCGACAACACCGTTTTCCGTACTCTTTTTTCATAGAAGGATATCAACACGGTCAAGTGAAGACTCATAAATGAAAGAGTTCGAAGGTATGTTCGGTGGGTTATCGGTATGCGGCGATGCGTTTGCTGTAAGCTGACTAGTAGCTGCAAGGGATCGGCAGCATGGTGTAAGCACTTGTGGTCTGTTGCGGATGCGTCACCTAGCACCTTCAGTAAAGTGTGTCCAGAATACCTATTGAGGTCTGCAACACTTTCAAAGACTTATGAAGCCATTCCTCCGGGGATTTATTTATCTCTAAGGCTTACTTCCGACCTAGTGTGGTAGTGGTGACCTAAGGCTGTGGCCAGCCAGAAGTTCAATCTTGAAGATCTTGCCTATCGTAAACGTTCTTTCGATAGTTTGGTATTTCAAGAAGCATCTAGTCTTCATTCCTCAATATAGGGAGCTATTTGGTGTGATAAGACTATAAAACATGTGAATGAAAATTTCGATTCAATGTATCGTTCATCAGTTTATAATTTTTTCGAGTCTTCCCTTAAAAAAAGGATGGATGTGTGATGTGCAAAATAAAACTGGTGTACATGCATACGGATACTATGGGAATGCGTGCAGAAGTTTTTCACAAATGCATTTCTGGATTTTTTCAGACAGAAACAGTGTACGTACGTACGTATATGTATATTGAATAAGCACATTCCGTTCTGTTCTTTGACTAAAAAAATCTAGAGGATACAAAAATGTATCGAGTATCCTACGCGTAAAGGCCGTTAAACTGTTCTAGAAAGCCTACCCTACATCCATAGCGCGTTGTTTTGGGTAAATGTTTTGATACCAGCAAAGTTTCGTCATAAATTTTGATTATCAAGGAAGGCATCATAATTGTGAATCTCTTTTAGTCCAAATATATAGGAAGAAATTCAACATCATTAGGGTTCCCTTTCAAAATAGGTGGGTTTAAGGCAGTAAATGCTGACACTATCATCAGTTACGTTTTTATCGATGATATAGTATTGATGTTCGCAACGAAGGGCTTTGAAGGGCTATTCGTATGCGGTTTTGAGGGGTCATCGTAATAAGTCAAGACGTAAGAAAACACGTGTACCATGCTGTGTGGCAGGTTAAACGAAAACGTCGGTTGATTACGACGAAGTGGTAACACGTTTATTTTCACTTACTCATATGAATATGAAATCTTCGGTACTTGAGGGCACCAAATACAATGCACCGCATCACAACAATTAGGTTGTGGCGGCTATTAGTATTATTACTATTGACAAACATCTTATTGATACATAATGTTGTGAAGAAATCACTTCGGATTTATTCAAAAATGCAATTATACACAAGTTTCAATAATGTTGGAATTACATTTGTCATATTTGAGAAAGAGGAAAAAAGATAATAATGATAATAGAATAATAAAAAATCATGTTCTGTGTAGTTGAGAAGAATACTGAATTGACTTTAAATAAGGAAAGGGAGAAAATAAGTGGACGGAAATAAAGGAGACGTGAAATACGCAAATAGTTTAATAAGCGTGTTTATGAACTTAGAACAAGCAAAAATGGCTATGTATATATCGTCAAATTAGTGACAAAATTAAAATGGAAAATAATTAAGAAAAAACAATTTATTATTGCAGCAAGATATGACGTTAGAATAAGTATTCGTGCAGTCATAGTTTGAAGTGATGCCATGAAAGTCTCAGTTATGTGCAAAGGATAACCAAATATCAATATGTACGAGTCATATATGCGTAGTGAACGTACAAACGAGTATAAGAAGTGTAGTGGAAAGCCAGAATGATAAAAGAACAAAAATGAATGAAAATTAGTTTATAAGAGTAAGTTAACAATAATAATTATCAATAATAATGGGAGAATCAGTTCAGTCAAGAGGCATTGAACCAGAAACAGCTCTTGCCGTTAAAGAAATCGCGCTCACTTTTATGAAGAATGTCATAAAACTGTTACAGTAGGATCACTGTAAGATCCATTTTGAAGGTTTTGTGTGTTGGTGAAAATCCCTCCATGTATATACTTGTACTTTATTCCTATTGATCACATTAGTTGTATATTGTTGTATTTTGATTACATTTGAATTGTTAATATTTGTATTTTTGTTATAGTTTTTGTTTTTATTACGCATTCACTAAGTTTGTGTTTCTTCTTGAACTGCATCTGCGTTGTTTTACTTGACACTTGTTCTTGGCAGTAGCCATATTGATTTGTTCCTCCTGTTGTGTGTGATCTATCCAGTCAGGATGGAATAGCGTTCATTTGTTGTGATTGGTAATTTTTCCTCATCTTCTATCAACTTCTTTATTTATTGTAATTTAGATTTAATTGATTGAGCAATCATTGGTTGAATAGCCGGGTGATAATATTTGTTTAGGTAATGATTTACATTAAATTTATTATGAATTATAGAACCGCTAGTTACCCGATTACTTGTTCTGATTTCGACGGGAAAGGGCGCGTGTCTAAAGTCCCCGGTAGGCTATTCTTCAACATCCAAACCGTAGTTTGGATCCTACAATCACCACGGGCCTCTATTCTGAGCCATATCTTATAAAGATTGAGGCTGCACTTACTCAGCTACCCAGATACTTCGCGACTATTCCATCAGCTCACTACCCAGAGTGCAGGATCAGTGTCCTGAAAGTCTTGTAAAAGTACGTTTCAATTTCAAGATCTTAATAAAAGTCTCAGGCTCGTTGTCGGCAGACAATTCGAGAGAAAAGTACCGTTCAAAAAGCTGAAGGCAGCCTTAATGTCTAGAAACACTACGATTGCTGGCATGTGATAAGCATGACGGTGTTCTAACGTTAATCCGCTAGCAAAACGAAAACCGACCCAATGTTTGCGAGTAAAACTTTCTCGGGTTTTGAACAATCTTCGAAGTAAGATGGAAGCCAATGGTTTGAACGCGATCTGAAGCGGACGTAAGGACGTGAACCATCTTTAAAGATATGAATAACTGTCGACTCATTCCACGACCTTAGAACACTCCCCAATCGCTAGACTTTTGTGGATAACTCAGTTAGTTCCATAACCAAAAAGTCATCAAAATCTTTAGAGACACCCGAGACTGATGGTTTGAGTTACTACAGTAATCGGAGTTCATTGCGAAGCTCTAATTCGTTTGGCGAACCAGATGCAGCTTCTATTTCTAAATCGTTAGCACGCTCCGACCACCAGACTCCTAGGTCTTTACGAAGGTATTTCACAGCTCCATCATCTTACAATCTTCGGTTGTGGCCAATGAGTAGCGAGGGGCCTGAAGAAACACAGTGATTATAAGCGAGACGTTCTGCAAAGCCTTAAGTGACCTTACCCGCCATTTTTATGGCGTTGTGCAGTAGCAACAAATGCCCATCTTTAATTTTCTGCGAACTCACAGCTAGCCTTGAACATATCTTGGTTAGATATTTAGTGACAACAGAAGCCGCAACAAATTCGTTGACATTCATCCGTTTATGACTACGAATTTATTGGCCACTGAGACGTTTGGTAAGCTTAGCGCAAATAAGGACATGATCAGAGTTCAGGTAGGTACTCTAAAAGAAGCGGCAGTCTTGTACACGACCATGCTAGCGGTGGCTAATCGCGATGTATCCATTCTGAGTTCAGGTTTGAGACG